TATGGAGTGAACTCTAAAATATTTATTACTTGTGGATAAGTGGCTGGTAGAATCAGTGATCTTGAAAATAAAGGTTGGGGAATAAATGATAGAGTGACGTCTGAGGAAGTGAAAGGGAATGGAGTTCAAAAGCAGATGGAGAAGTGGGTCTTCAATAAGTGGAGGGAAAATCTCATCCATAGCACTGAGATTGAGGTTTTTTCCTCAGTGAATTTCAGCTGCTATGTGTGGGAGTACAGAAGACTAATGGTAGGTTGATATAAGGTTGGGTATACTTGGTGTGGGTCTGATGGAAGGATAAAAGATTGAGGAGTACTGGGGATATTAGGCAAAAATAATTGAAGTAATCAGCTGTAGAGTCTTTGAATAGGAAGTAAAGTCAGGATGGGGGCTGTTAGCCTGTGAAAAGAGAGAAGTGATAGGATTGTTAGTCTTGGTAAAATTGATAAGTGAGCATAGGGTAAAAGAGTTAAGCTATTTAATGAAAGAGGTCGGAGAGTGATGTGTTGGAGTTAGAGTGTACTCAGTGTGAGTTGAATTGATGAATCAAAAGGTGGAGCAGCATGGAATAATGATGACAGCTATGGAGCAGGTTGTTGAAGTTAAGCAAAGGTGATGGTCATTGAAAATAAAATTACTGAACTATGAAGCCTAAGTTGTTTGATGTGTCCAATTACCTCATGGATGTTGATGTTACCAGTGTAACAATAGAAGTTAGCACAGTGAGAAATAATATTTTTAATCAACGTGGGGAAATGAGCGGAGGTGAGTACATAAAGAATAGTGTTTTACTACTTTAGATTCTCTACTTGCAAGTAACAGAAATTAGCTCAAACCAGCTTAAGTAATAAGAGGAAATTGTTGTGAGCATCTGAGTAGGACTCAAACCCAGTAATATAGCCAGCTATCAGGAAGGGACTGGAGCCTGGACCTGGAAAACTATTTAGAACTTAGTTTCTGCTCTTTGTTCTTATTTTTTCATCTTTGCTTTTCTCTCCTATTTCTCTCTCCTTTTGTGTCATTTATCTCACTGGCTTTGTCTTTTAAGAATGGCTCTTTGTTATTCCTTATTTACCTGGGAGCTTATAATTATCCTATATCTTCTGAACTTATTTGTTGTAATTTTAGCCACATGCAGAGACTCCCTGAATCCTAATTCCAGGTTACCAGAAGAGAGAATCCTGTTGGTTCAGATTGAGTTAGTGGTTTGCTTATGCTCCCATCAACTTTGGCTGGAGTGGGATGCTATCTTGTAATGTTTTATAACATGGCTGTTAGGGTCCTGTCTTCACAGCTCTTCAAGAGTCCTGTGTGCCACCAGCTGCAGTGGATGTCTCCTGTACCACAGTCGAGTGGTATAGCTGAATGGAGTTAGTGTAAATGGAAATGAAAGAAGAACTTTTGAGAGTCCAGGAGAGCAAGTGAAGATATAGGAGAATGGTTTATACTGCCCCCCATGGGACTTGGGCAGTGGGCCAATGAGTAGCTTTTCCTTATGAGAGAAGTGGTCTCCTTGGTGAAGAGTTAGTTCTTAGTTAAAGACATAAGGGGATAGGGTATTCATGAAAAAGGTTGAGGTAGTAGGGTAGGTTATTTATGAAAAAGAGATCCCAGGGTTTATATTGAAACTGTTTGGGAAGGTGATTGGTGATAAGATGAACCAGAGAGAGAGGGCTCTAAAGCAGTGAGGATAGGACCATCAAAGAGGAAAGATGAAGGGCGCCTGGATGGCTCAGCGGGTTAAAGCCTCTGCCTTCAGCTCAGGTCATGATCCCAGGGTCCTGGGATCGAGCCCCACATCGGGCTCTCTGCTCAGCATGGAGCCTGCTTCTCCCTCCCTCTCTCTCTACCTGCCTCTCTGCCTACTTGTGATCTCTGTCAAAAAAAAAAAAGGAAAGATGACTGGAGACTTGATTTTGGATGATGTCAACAGTATGGTTGACAGGCATGAGAAGTATAGATAGAAGTAATTGGCAAATTAATGGTTGGAAAACTTTCATTTTCCTGTTATTTCCATCTGAGTTGAAGGTAGTTAACAGAGGCAGTCCAAGCGTGACTAATTTTTGTAGCTCCATCTCAAAGCAGTGAGCTTATTTTGGCTTGAGACTTTATTTTTGTTAGCATTCCCCTTTCTTGACTATGGTTTGAAGTGATGGACTCTTGTAGTGAATTCTGATAGTTCCATTTGGGTTTTTAACAGTTGCACTATACTTGGCCCTCACTTTCCTGACACCTTTGTTCATCTTTTGAGCACATGCTATTATTGATTTGGAGGAGTATGACTAACAGTTAGGTTGCTTGCTCCTTTGAGTCAATGTCTGGGATCATGTCTTTGGAAAAAACCTATTAGTGCATTTTCTTCATTACTAAAATATCCTTGTTACACATAACATACATACTTGCTTACTCATTCTCTACCACACACACCTTTTATGTGTAATTTGCACACCCGCCCCATCTTCTCTAATGGTTTTTTCAGTTTTCCTCTAACTGATCACTGATTCCTTTTGTCCTTTTTTGTGGTAGCCATATGAATTTCCATTTTAAGCCTGGCAGACTCTGTTAATGAAATATACCTGTTTCATCTTAAGCATACATTATCTTCTTTTCACTTTGGAAATTTCTTTATTCCCACAAACTGAAATGGTAGTTTGTTAAAAAGTGAAAGTAAACGTCAAAGACTTTGAGTCTCAGTTATAGTACGTTTGAAAATAGTTCCAGACTTAAGACATTGCTGTTTAGATTTAGTGATACTTTTAGAAATTACCGTGTAATTTTGAATAATATAAAATACTTTTGTCAGAAGAAACTTGTAATGACAGTAAACAGCAAATTAAGTTGAAAAATTACTAAGCACATGGGATCTCTGGGTGGCTCAGTGGGTTAAGCATCTGCCTTTGGCTCAGGTCATGATCCCAGGGTCCTGGAATCGAATCCCACATTGGGCTCTTTGCTCAGTGGGGAACCTGCTTCTCCCCCTGCCTGCTGCTTCCCCTGTGTGTGCATGTGCTCTTTCTCTCTCTGAGATAGATGAATAAAATCTAAAAAAAAAAAAAAAAAGATACTAAATAGTATTTGTGTAAAAAGTGCTTAATTCTTAGTGTTTTTTAAGGACTTATTCCTACCGTTTTTTACTTAGTAATAATTATTGCAGAAGAAAGTAGGGGAAGATAAAGTAAACAAGAAATGGATGCATTGTAGGAAAGATCAAGGAAGAAGAAATATAAATGGATGAGAGGCATTTGCTAAATGATTAGGGTTATAAACATGCTTAATAGCTAAATATGTACTTAGGCTGAATATTCTGTTAAATTAAAAAAAATTTAGTTTGTTCAGCTGCATAGAATTATTAAAATAGTTCTTTAGTAATACTGTGGAAGAGTGGTGAATGTTGATCACATTCCAGTGTTTTAGTCCTTTTCATTACTTGTTACAAAAAGAAGTAGTGTTTATGTTTTAGGAATAATTTATGCTAGTTGCCCTTGCTTTTCAGAAATTATCATTGATTTCTTAACCTCCCTCAGGAATTACATGCTCATGAGTAAACCTTCTTCCTGTAAAACTTAAAAAATCTTATGCTATTAGTACCTTCAGAATAAAGATGTTGAAAATTGAACTCTCTGAATGCTTTTTCTTTTTAATTAGAATATACAGGATATAACTTTTTAAGGATATTGCTGTTATCTGAGTACCTCAGGTACTAAATATACAAAAATATTTTGTGAACCTGGTTCTTTTTCTCTTTCTGTAGTTACTATATTTAATGGTTGCATGGTTCTAAAGCAGAAATTTTAGTGGTTGGTAAAAAGAGGTGATGGTGTAATGCAAATGGTACTCCTTAATCTTTTGGCTCATAAAGTCTTTAAAGTATGCTTATTTAAGGAGAACAGAGTTGATGACATATAATTATAAAAAGTGATTCAGAATTAGGGGCAAAAAGTAGAACTAGTGTCTGGTGGATTGACTCAGGACTCTTCTAGATTTGACAGGGACGCATGTGGACGAAATACCATGTTCTTTTTTTTCATTCCTAAGTGGCTCGAGTTGCCAAATCTGTGCCAGAAGGTTGATCATTGCAGCTTGTAGACCATATTTTTTATTCCTTAATTACGTTAACAGCTAGAGTTGTTTTATGGATTTTTGAGTCTGATGCCAGGCCTTTTATGGGTCTGAAAGTAATTGTAGCATGAATTTAGACTGTATTTTTAGTCTTTAAAATTTCCAGGAGTGTTCTGTATTTATTTGATATATAAATTCTCCATCTGCTTCACTTCTCTGTGATATTTTAAAAACATGCTTGCTATGAAATACAATAAAACACTTTATGTAGTTCTGAGTTAAAAAATTTAGTTTAAAAATTCAGTGATGAGTAATAGTGTTTGCTACATCCAATGACTGTAGTTTAGCCATTTTGTCTACTGTTACACTCTTATTCTAGTTTACACAGGTATGTATTGTGGGTGTTTATCCCTTTAAAATCCATACTCCGTCCGTGGTACAGCTCCTCTCTCTGTCCCCAGTTAGAATCATTAGTGAATGGTATACTGTAGACCTGGGTTCAGATTCTATTTTTACCTCCTGAATAAATTGCATATAGTCTCATTTACTTATTTGTAAAATAAATAAAATCTGCTTTTCAGAGCTGTTATAAGGATTTGAGAAAATGTTTGTAGAATGTAGAATGTCAGAGCCTCTGCCTAGCTCTGAGTAAATGGTAGGTAAGTTATTATTGCTGTTATTAATAAGTAGTAACCATGGAGTGCTTTGGCAATATGATATAGACATTAGGCTGTATATGTACATTGTAAAACCTGTGATGGATTAAGGAAAGCAAATGTGCAGTCAATCCCAGGGGGATTTTATAAAACTTTCTGGAGCAGACCATTTCTGTTTCATATATTTGCAGACTTGTGAAAATAAGCAAATCTATTTCTCAGTCTGGTCTTTGTGAATAGATTCTGAACACTAACAGAATATTTTTCTCTTCCTTTTATCTTAAGGGTGCTATTTTCCTGGAAGGTGTAACTGTTAAAGGTGTGACTCAAGTAACAACTCAACCAAAGTTAGGAGAGGTACAGCAGAAGTGTCATCAATTCTGTGGCTGGGAAGGGTAATAAACATTTTCAAGTTTTAAATAAAACTTGTATTGTGTAACATTTAACATTAACGCAGATGTTGACTTAGCTTCTTTGTTCTTTGAAGTTTGAATATTTACCTAGAGTGCTTAAAAAGATATCAAGCAAGAGTTTTATCAGATTTTTCTCATGATCAACAATTGAGTTAAAATTAGACTACTAGAAAAAACAAAAGCAAAAAACAAAAAAAATTAGATAACTAGACAGTTGAGTCAAGATTAAATGACTCAAACATGTCTTCCTAACTGAATACAAAATTATTTTTGTCACTATCTAGTATTTGTTTTGTGTGTTTAATTCTGTTGCTGATTAATGATTGGGTTGCCCATATCATTTTACTAAGGGAGAAGAAGTGAGTCTTGAAGACTTGAATGTACCTCATTTTCTAGTTTTTCTGTAATCCAGTTTTCTGAGACCTAGGGGAATCAGCTTTAATTATGTTTTACCCCCTACCATGACTTGAAAATATTTATCAGACATTTCATGGGAGGGGATTCTGGAGAGTTCACGGCTCCGCTCTCAAGTCTTGGTCTTTGGTCGTTTCTGTTGGTCATAGCCATCTGTGGCAGAAAATTGTAGCACAGCTAGAACATGATGAAACAGGATCGGTAATTCTTAAAAATTCCTAATATAAAGAACTTTTTCACTGGTATATTCAGATCAGTTAGCTAGAAATAATTTTAACTAAAAGATTAAAATGATGATGAAGTAATATTGATTTTAATGTTGTGCTAAGCCCTTGCCAGTGTACTTTAATCTTGACCTATATTTCTCCTGTTTTGTCACTTCTGGGCATCTTTTAAGCAGAATTTTGTCAACCTTTTAGAGTTTTGCCAAGTTGGTGGAGTCATGATAGAGGAATATGGGGTCTAAAATAATGTAAGATAATTAAGGCAAGCAAGATTTAAACTTCTTCTTGCAGTAGAAGATTTGTAAACATACCTACTTTACTATTAGATCATGAATTTAATATTTAAAAAGCCCAGTGGTTATGGTATTTAGTGGCGATTAGAATCTTGTTAACTTGAGTCTGAAATGTCTAGAAGATAATAGATAATATTTTGTTAGCATTCTTGGGAATGTTGATGTTCCAGTTGACATTAATCTCATGATAGGGTGAATGTTGTGATAAATGTATGACTCATGTGAGATTGGTTTGAGATGTATTGCTTTGTATGGATGCCAGCTATAATCGTAATAAAATGTTCTTCTTTAAGGTCTGGATTCCCTGGAGCACAGCCTGTTTCCATGGACAAGCAAAATATTAAACTTTTGGAGCAGAAGCCATATAAAGTAAGCTGGAAAGCAGATGGCACTCGGTAAGTTAGACTTCTAAATAAAGTTATACAAATAACTCTAATGCTTGAAGAATACTGCTTTGTTGTTAGACAAGGTTTGTACTCTTGGGAGTGTGAATTTCTGACTTGAACAGCAAAATAATCATGTTTCAAATATCATCATTTTTATTTCACAAGTATTCTTAGTTATGTAATTCAGTTTCTCTCATTCTGCTAAATTTCTGGTTTCAGAGTTTTTTTTTTCTCTTTTGTTTTTTAGAAGATTTTATTTTTCAATAATCTCTGCAGCCAGTGTGGGCTCCAGCTTACAACCTGAGATAGAAAGTTGCATGCTCCACCCACTGAGCAGCCGGGCGCCCACCAGAGTTCTGTTAGTTTGACTTAGTCTATACCAAATTGAAGTTTGAAAGTGTTTTCTCTTGATAATATTGTGCTTTTTGGTATGTCTGGTGCCCATCACCTTATGTTTAGTGGTTGTTGAGCACTTCTGAAACTAACAGATGTGTTGTCAGTTTATAATCTAAAAATTACCAAGTCTCCTTGATATCTTATTCCTTAGAATATTTTGTTCTGTATTTTGCTCCTTTGAATAGTTTTTCTCTTAATCTTTGCTAATACTTTTTGTAATTTTATGACCTCTTAAGGGTGTTTTATTCTTACAACAAAGCTTAGCTTCAGGTTTCATATTCCTATACTTCTAAATTTTATTAGTATAAATTTTATGCTTCCTCAACATTTAACTTTTCTTTCTCTTTTGTAAACATATTTTTATAGCTTTGCCATATGTACTTTTTTATTCGGCAAATGTTCTAATAGTTGAAGTAATTATTTTAACAGATGTTAATATTAGCTTTTTCCTATTAATTTTTTCATAATGAAAATGTTTCAGAGAATTAAGATAGCATTTATATAGTTAGCTTTTTCCAGCTTTATTGAGATACAATTATAATATTATGAGATTCCATTATAACATTATTGAGAATTTATTGAAGATAAATTTATTGAGATTCCATTATAACATGGAAGTTTAAGGTGTATAATGTGTTGATTTGAACACTTAAACATATTGTAAGATGATTACTGTTAGCTAACACCACCATCACTTCACATAATGACCATTTCTTTTTTGTGGTGAGAATATTTAAGGTATGTTATCTTAGCAACTTTCAGGTGTACAGTACAGTATTATTTATTATAATCACTATGATGTACACTAGGTCCCTGGAACTTATTGTCTTGTAATTGGAAGTTTATATCCTTTGACCAGTTTCTCCCCATTTCTTCTACCTTCTCAGCCCCTGGTGATTACCAGTCTAGTCTCTGTTTCTATCAGTTTTTTATTATTTTTTTAAGATTCCATATGTAAGTGATACATAGTATTTGTTTTCCTCTGACTTATTTCACTTAGCATAATGTCCTCAAGGTCCATCTGTGTTGTAAATGGCAGAATTCCTTCTTTCTCATGGTTGAGTACGATTCCATTGTTTATTTATATAGTACATCTTCTTTCTTCATCTGTTGATGGTCATTTATGTTGTTTCCGTATCTTGGCTATTATGAATAATGCTGCAATAAAAATGAGGATGCAGATATTTTTTTGAGATGCTGTTTTCACATTTGGTTTTTAAATGTTATTTTGAAGATAATATAGGTTGCACTTAATTTTTCTGAGGAGTTTTTGATGTCAAAATGGCAATTACACCTTTCATATCATGTTATCTTCTGCATTTTGCTTGGGGTGACCTTAAAAGATACATATGAAGATATGGAGTGGGGCAGATAGAACTTGATTTTAATATTAGGTGAATATAATGATACTATTTCAACATGATACACTTTTTAGTAGTTACATTTTTTTTTTAATAGGGAATATATCGAAATATTTTCTTTCATTTGTCGGTCTTTGTTGGAAATCATCTTTCCTTTCAACTCAGCATTTTCTAGCTTTTTTGGGGGGGGGATTTGTAGATAACACAGGTTCGTGAAACAAAGTTCAGAAAATAACATAAACGAAAAGAAGAAAGTAAAATTAAAGAGTGATTTTATCACCTAGAAGTAACCATTACCATCATTGTGGTCTTGATTTTATTCTTTTGGTTAGAAAGCAGTTTTATTGGGGTGCCTGAGCTCCAACATGTTGGCTCAATCAGTAGAGAGCATCTGACTCTTGATTTTAGCTCAGTCTTGACCTTAGGGTCGTGAGTTCAAGCCCTGCATTGTGTTCCACACTAGGTGTGGAACCTACTTTAAAAAAAAAAAGCAGTTATATTAACGCTTCATATAGCGAATGCAAATAGTTAAACAATAAGTATGTTTTATATATGCTTATTTTTTCATACTATTTTGAATTTAAAAATGAACTAGTCTAAAAAAATTAATATTAATACTTGATAAAATTTTAAGCCGTATAGAGACATAAAATAATAAAGTTTGCCTTGTGTGTTCTAGGAATATTCATTCTATAAGGATGAATCTCTAAGGATGAATACAGTTAAAGATTCAGATAGAGACAGTTTGGATAATGTGTCCCTTCTATGCCCTCCTCCCTATGAATGTATATTTTTGAAGGATAAATAAAAATTAACTTGTTGCTTATTTTCAGAATGTTAAAATTATATTTAATTTTTTAGATTAGAATAAGTTTATAATCTATTAAATTGGTAGTAAGGATTAGCAGAAGTTAAGTTGTTGATGTGTGTGTGTGTTTATGTGTTTGTGTATTTTTTTTTTTTTTTTTTTTAAGTAGGCTTCGTGCCCAGTGTGGAGTCCAGTGCAGGGCTTGAACTCATGACCCTAAGATCAAGACCTGAACTGAGGTTGAGATTCGAACACCTAACTGACTGAGCCAGCTAGGCACCTTGATATATAGTATTTGTGTAACAATGTCTTAAGGTTTATTAATAGATATTTAATATTGTAACAGTGTCTAAGGTTTATTACCTACCTCTGAGTGGAGAAGCAGTGAAAAAGGTGAGGAGCAAAGATGCCCATCTCCAGACTTGATACGATAAATGGCCTGGGGATTTGGGAGCGAGACATAGTTTTAATCTGATGAATTTCAAATTCTGGATATTTTTTAACTTCTACCTCGTTTTCTCCATGATGTTCAGCCTGTGATCATGGCAAACCTTGGGCAAAATAACAGTCTATAAAATTTGTCATTTGTAGTCCCCCATCCTATCTTTGTTTATTTTCCCTTTTCTGAGCATTTGTATACCCCTTGCCCCATGTCTTCTCAATACTGTCAGACCTCTAAATGATTAGCTACAGTGATTTGAGCTAAAATCTTTCGACCGATAATTGAAATACCTCTTTTCTCATGGAACTGTGCTCCACCAAAACAAAAGGAGACCCTTTTAGTATTTATTTGATACCTACTCTGTCTTAGGATACTTTATTCTGTGAGGAAAAACATTTATGTGAAATATTTTTCTGGACCAGTGCCAGATCTTTCTTTTGCACAGTAGGATTGAAGGCCAATAGCACGGGAGAGGGACTAACTGTGATCTATAGGGTGAAAAGAGCCCCAGGGAGATGTAGAATAATCTAGGAGCCCACGGAGTTAGAGTAACAGATTAAAAGCCATGAACACTTGATGCTAATTTATCGATTTATTTACTTATTTATGTTTTATTTTTTAAAAAATTGTTTTATTTTTAATTTACATATAATGGATTACTAGTTTCAGAGGTACAGTCTGTGATTCATCAGTCTTATATAATATCCAGTGCTCATTATGTCACATGCCCTCCTTAATCTATTTAATTTATTTTTAAAAGATTATATTTATCTATTAGAGTGAGAACATGTGTCGGGGATGAGAGTGGGTGGAGAGAAGGGACAGAGGGAGAAGCATACTCCCCACTGAGCCGTTACCTTGGTGGGGCTTGATCCCAGGATGCTGGGATCATGACCTGAGATGAAGGCAGATGCTTAACCTACTGAGCCACCCAGGCACCCCTATTATTTTTATCTTTTTAGTAGTCTGCACACCCAGCTTGGGGCTTGAACTCAGCACCATGAGATTAAGAGTCATATGCCCAGGGCGCTTAGGTGGTACAGTTGGTTGTGTCCTACTCTTGGTTTTGGCTGAGGTTGTTATCTCAGTGTCTTGAGATCAAGCCCCTCTTCTGGCTCTGCGCTTGGGATTCTCTCTCTCTCTCCATTTACTCTTCCCACTCATGCTTTCTGTCTCTCTCTCAAATTAATAAATATGTCTTAAAAAAGAAAAAGTCTAATGCTTACCAACTGAGCCCCCCAGGTGCCCTACTTCTTATTTAAAGCCATGTTGTGATGGAGTGTAGGACTCTTTTTATTTTTTTTTATTTTTTATTTTTTTTAAAGATTTTATTTATTTGACAAACAGAGATCACAACCAGGCAGAGAGAGAGGAGGAAGCAGGCTCCCCGCGGAGCAGAGAGCCCGATGTGGGGCCCGATCCCAGGACCCTGGGATCATGACCCGAGCCGAAGGCAGAGGCTTTAACCCACTGAGCCACCCAGGCGCCCCTGGGACTCTTTTTATTATCCTTATTCCATAGTTTATTGGCTCTTTATTTACTGTATTTAGGAACAGTATTTAGATAAAAGGATTTCTGAAATTGAATGTAATATGAGACCTGGATAGAGTTAGCAATAAAAGGTATTGCCTAGGAATTTTGATTAGCCTGGCCAAGCCTGGGGGCAACAGTGACAGTTTTGCAGATTCTAAAACGTTGTAGAAGAGGGTCTATTTCCTAATTGTAAAGCCAAATTATATAGATAGAAATACAGAGTTTCTTAAAAATAAAACAGTAAGAGATTTATATTGGTTATATAGGTGAATTGATTAAACACTAGGCCACTATAGTCTCAGATACAGGTGAAATCATTTTGTTTAATTGAAGATTTAATAGTTGTGTGTCTTACATTTCAGTAAAATCAACTTTTAGAAATGAGATATCTCTTATCACAGCAAACTATTTCTGTCATACCACTTTCCATTATCAGAAGTAACTTTTTTCTTTCTAATTATTTTGCTTT